AGGGAGGGAGGGAAGAGAGGGGGGAAGAAGGAGGGAGGGAGAGAGAGAGGGGAAGGTGTCTCTTCAGGGCAACAAAGATGTGTGTCTGTTTCTGGGTTTCCCACTACTTCTTCCCCCTCCTCCCTGTTAAAGCTTTCTCTGAAATTTTCTCTCACTTACTCCTGACTAAACACAATGAACCTCATAGCGTTTAGTCAAAGGAATGTAACAAGCAATAAGAAAACAATGGTATATGAAGTAGGTAAGCAACATGGGGCTACTGTACAGCACAGGGACCTATATTCAGTATCTTGTAATAACCTAGAGTGGAAAAGAACCTAAAAATATATGTGTGTGTGTGTATCCATATCTGCTATGTAAATAATGCTGCAGTGAACATGGGGTTGCATGTATCTCTTTTAGTGTTTTCATTTTCTTTGGACAAATACTGAAAATATGTATATATATAAATATGAATATATATAAACTGAATTACTTTGCTCTACACCTGAAACTAACACAACATTGTAAATCAAATATACTTCAATTTAAAAAAAAGAAAGAGAGCAGGGAGGATATAGGTCAGCAGTAGAGCACATGTTTAACAAACACAAGGTCCTGGGTTCAATCCCCAGTACCTCCATTAAATAAACAACCAAACCTAATTACCCAACAAAATTTTTTTTAAACGTGAACAGTGGTGATCTCCCAGTCTGCTGTTGTTCAAGTGAAAGTTGCTGGTGTATGCAGTTTCCTGGGAAGAGGGGCACTTTATTATAAATAGACTATATGGTAATATGTCTCTAAAATTTCTGTCACCAGTAGAAAAGTGTTAACATTTATTTTCCATTTAGAGAGTGGAAAGCGTCACTTCTCTCTCATTTTTAAAACAGACTTAAAATAGTACATGAGAAATATGGCTGATAATTGTAGGGGGTCAGACAAAAGGAATGTATTTGAGTGTCAAGATACAAAGATGACCGTGAAATCCAGCTAGATAGGAAGCACATCTTGCTACTCCAATCCTCACATAAAATGTGTGAGCCATCTTCCTTCCAAGATGGCTCTTTGTTCAAACAAAATAAAATTCAGTGCAGAGACACTTTCTTATGGAGACGTTGACTTCCTTCTGAGAGCAGGAGGCACTTGATTGAGGTCCTCTGTATGTCTCCGTAGAACCGTGTAACCAGGGGAGATTATGAGCAATTATTATCTCTGTATTGTAGCAACAATTTAAATGACTTTCACTAACCACAGGCTCTTGTTGTGGGCTCTGTAATTGATAACTCACTTTTATCCATTGTAAACCCTCAGAAAAGTATCCTGTGTCTACACTTGTGACCATGATTTGTGCTTCATCTTCCACAACCATTCTATGAACCTAACTGTCCATTTCTTTACTGATAACAATTTGGCATTCAGTGATTCTATATGTTGAAGGAGCAGATTCTCTTAATTAAAATTAGGGTGGTTTTTTTTGTAGTTTTATTATTACTAGAAGAATTACAAGAACATTATCTTTTTTACTGGAATTTTTTAAAAACACCTTTGTTGTGCTGTGGTTCCTGTATAGTAAAGTACACATATTTCAAATGTACAATTTGATGAATTTTAATAGGTGTATACACCCATGAAACCACCACTACAATCAAGATAGCTAACATTTCCATCACTCCCCAAGAGACACTGTTTTTGAATTCCCAATTTATCCCTTCCCACCTCCTTTCGCCCTTGGTAACCAGAAGTTTGTTCTCTTTTGTAGGTAAGTTCATTTGTATCATTTCCTTTTTTTTTTAGATTCCACATATAAGTGATATATGGTATTTTTCTTTCTCTTTCTGGCTTACTTCACTTAGAATGACAATGTCCAGGTCCATCCATGTTGCTGCAAATGGCATTATTTTATTCTTTTTTATGCTGAGTATTATTTCGTTGCATATGTATACATACCACATCTTCTTTATCCAGTCATCTGTCAGTGGACATTTAGGCTGTTTCCATGTCTTGGCTGTTGTAAATAGTGGAGCTATGAACATTGGGGTGCATGTGTCTTTTTGAATGATATTTTTCTTTGGACAAGTAGGATTGCTTGATCATACGGTAAGTCTATTTTAGACCGCTGTGACCAGGCCCCACCTTTCCCCCTAGACTCCAGTGGCAGTGGCTACACAGGTGGGTCCGATTCAGTTAAATGCCGCATCCTCCCGGCCTTCACCGAGCTCTTCTCGTTCTGTGGTAGTTGTGATCTTCTCCGTAGTTCTCTTACAAGTGTCCTTTATTTATATTTATCCTCCGAAACCTTGGCTTTCTGAATTTTCAGATATGATGTGCTTGACCAAAAAAAAAAAAAAAAAAACCCCACAGAACTTCCACGTGCACTGCCCAGGTCAAGAAATGTGACCCCAGAAATCACCTGTACAGTCTTTCCAAAACAGTCATCCCCGTCCCCGGAGCTAAGGCGCTGTCTGATGTTACAAGTAAGCTTTTCCTCACTTTTCTTGATAGCCTTACCATCTATTTGGAAAATAATTTGATGACTGTAGTTCAGTTTTGCTCACTTGTTTTAAAACTTTTTTAGGAGTGGCATCATATTAGTATATGATGTATTTTCCTACACTTACACACTATTGTGTGATTTTTATTGATGTATTTCATGGCTATCAATTTATTTTCCTTTTTGTACAGGATTCTGTAGTTTGAATATATGAGTAAAATGTCTATAAGTTCTGTTGAAAACTTTTCTTTGGGGTTTTTTTTGGTATATGTTTTCAGCAGTTATAAACATTGCTACTGTAGTCAAACCAGCCATGTGTCCTGAGGTATATATATTAAATACATTTGTGTAGCATGTTAAAATTATTGTATTTAAATGAATATTTGTTTTTTGATCTTGTTTTTAACTTAGCTCTCTGAAATTATTATACTTAATCTTTTGACACACACATGCATTACATAAACTTACTGTTTTACAGTATACACACACTTAAAAAGCTTTCGTATTTTAAGAGATTGTACTCTTCCAGTAATTTTTATTTTACTGTTCAGTCATCGTTGGTGATTTTGGAAGAGAAAATGGTTATGATATTTTAAATCCTAACAGGATGTTTAGAGTGCAAGAAGGTATTTTCATGTTTAGGTAACTGAATAGAGGTTGGGTCGTATAGCTTGTTTCATTTCTCTTGAGTTGAGGCAGTCAGAAATGAGGTCCAGTTATCCCAAACTGCTGAAGGCCAAGCGCTTTTACTGTGATGCTAGCAACAACCCTCTTACCGGATTTTCAGTGTGTGGATTTTCAGTGTGTGGTCAATAAACGGTGGTTCAGTTCTCTACCCAGGAGAGAACAGCCTATAGGAAACTACAAGCAATCTCTCTGAACACTTATGGAAATATTTTAATGTCAAAACATGGATCAATATAAAAATTACACATTCTTGAATTCTCTTATATAATGTTACAGTTATTTCAAGTCAGAATTTATGGATTAAACTGGAATATACAAAATGATAACTTAAATTGAAGTATAGTTAGTTTCCAGTGTTGTGTCAATTTCTGGTGTATAGTATATTGCTTCAGTCATACATGAACATAAATATGCTCATTTTCATACACTTTTCCACCAGAGGTTACTACAAGATATTGAATAGAGTTCACTGCGCTGTACAGTATGAACTTGTTTATCTATCTTATATATAGTAGTTAGTATCTGCAAATCTGTAGCTCCTAATTTATGCCTTCCCACCCTGGTAACCGTAAGTTTTTTTTCTATGTCTGTGAGTCTGTTTCTGTTCTGTAAAAAAAAAGTCTTTTTTTTAAGATTCCACATATGAGTGATATCATATAGCATTTTTCTTTCTCATTTCACTTAGAATGACAATCTACAGGTCCATCCACGTTGCTGCAAATGATATTTTATTCTTTTATTCCATTCTACAAATATACCACATCTTTATCCAGTCATCTCAGTGGACATTTAGGTTGTTTCCATGTTTGTCTATTGTAAATAGTGCTGCTATGAACACTGGGGTGCAGGTATCTTTTTGAATTCATAGTCAAAGTATACTCAGTTACAATGTGTTAATTTATGGTGTACAGCATAATATTTCACTTACATATTCATATTTCATTCACACACATACAGACTTGTTCACTTTTTGTATATATATATTTTATTGAAGTATAGTCACTTTACAGTAATGTTATACTCATACCCTTTTCCACTGTGTTACTACAAGATACTGAAGCATGCACAAGGTCCTGGGTTCAAACCCCAGTAACTTACCTTCCCCTCCAAGAAACAAAACAATTTATCCCTCCCCACGTCCCAGTAACCATAAGTTTGTTTGTCGGCTTCTGTTTTGTCAATAAGTTTGTCTTTTCTTTTAAGAATGATGATCTCCAGGTCCATCCATGTTGCTGCCAATGGCATTACTTCATTCTTTTTTATGGCTGAGTAGGATTCCACTGTATAAATATGCCACAACTTCTTTATTCAATCATCTGTTGATGGACATTTAGGTTGTTTCCATGTCTTGGCTATTGTATAGTGCTGCTGTGAACATTGGGGTGCAGGTGTCTATTTTAATTAGGGTTCCTTCTGGATATATTGGTAAGTCTATTTTTAGTCAAAGTACACTCAGTTATATTCTTTTTAACCATAGATCACAACAAGATATTGAATATAGTTCCCTGTGCATTACAGTATGAACTTATCTATGATACATATATTAGTATCCTAAGTGGGGTATAGTTCAGTGTTAAACTGCATGCTAAGGTCCTGGGTTAAATCTCCAGTACCTCCTCTAAATAAATAAATGGTTATTTTGAATGTATCATATGGTAAGTCTGTTTTTAGTTTTTTGAGGAATCTCCAGACTGTTTTCCATAATGGCTGCACCAAACTGCATTCCCACTAGTGTAGGAGGGTTTCCTTTTCTCCATTTTTGAAGTGATACTTCAGTTGTGATTTGCATTCCTCTGATAATTAGCAATATTGAGCAGTTTTTTATGTGCCTATTGGCCATTCATATTGCTTGTTTATATCTTCTTCCCATTTTTGGATTGGATTGTTTGAGAAATTAAGCCCTTGTCAATCTCATCTTTTGCAAAATATTTGCTCTTTTCCCATAGGTTTTTTTTTTTTGGTAAGACAGTAACTTAATATAATGAAAGAACCAACTGTTACCTATGGGAAAAGAAGAATGTATTATCAGGAAGAAACACAAGAGCTGGAATGAAGTGGAAGTGTCAGCAACAGAGCAGTACAAAAATCAGACTTAATTTTGGTATTTGTGGCACATGACCTGCCACAACCATAGTCTGGTGTAGCCATTATGGAAAACAGTCTGGAGATTCCTCAGGCTAAAAGGATGCTATAATCCAGCAATCCCACTCATTCAGAGGTTCCCCCTGGACATGATCTCTTATTCAGCTGTACTCACACAGGAATGTGACAGGATTTGCATGTTTTTTCCTACTTTGGGGAAAGCCTTTTCTCACAATACCCACTTGACTTTATATGTGGTTGGTTTACCCTTGAGCCTTTAGCACCACTTTTATTAACTATTAATTGCTAATTAATTACTCATTCATCTTTGTATCACTGATGAGAATTAAAGTGACATGAGCCTGCTCCTCCCGCAGTTTGCACTTAGGCAGAACTGTCCCTCATGGCCCTTGCACTGGTGAGTGTCAGGTGTTCTGGAACTTTTAATTCCAGTCTTCCCAGCTTTGGTGTCTGTACAGCAACCTACAGGCTGAGATGTGAAAGGTGTCTTAGGTACAGGGGTTAGTATGCACCGATGCTCGGAGATGCGGTTGAGAAGGGAGTGTCTGTTAATTAAATGTCTGGTGAGCAAGGGTCAGAGGCCTAGTAGTGGGTTTCTCTTCTCATTTAGATCTTAATAGGTTATCTCGTGCAGAACAGACTAGGGAAAAGGAAGGCGAAGGTAATGGTGAGGGTAGGAGAATACTTGTTGGCTACTAGATTTGTTTTTAAAGTAGGTCTAATGTGAAGGGGGTCACAGATGACTCCAAAGTTTTTGCCCTTTGCACATCAACTGGGATGGGGAAGGCAGTGGGAGTAGTTTTTCAATGAGAATATTACGAATTGGGTTTTGGCCATGCTGAGTTTCAGATGGTCCGGAGACTCCCAAGTATGAGAGACAAGTGAACATGCAGAGCTAGAGTGCTGGGGAGGGCTTCAGGTTGCCAAGAGGAAGAGAAAGTCCAGTGAGTGATATGCATGCGGAGAAGGTGTGTGAATGAACTCCCCTGGGGCCCTGGCACTAGGAACTTAGAAGGATGGGCCCAGGTTTGTTTGTGGGGATGTGATCCTGGGGACTCTCGGGCTCTTTCTTACCTTGCAGGAAAGCTGTTTGTCCCCCTGCTGATCAAGGAGGCAGAAAGAAAATACAGGCTGGAGTTGGGGGTACTTAAAGAGAGGCTGCTCATAGACACATCTGTCCCCCTCATCACAGGGCGCTGGGCCTTGGAGACTGCGAGACCCCTGTACCATGATGTGATGTTGGAGAACTTGGTGATTTCACTAAGTAAGAACAGCATCCTGGGCTGGGCTCTGCACACATCTGTTACTGCTTCCCTGTCCCGTGTGTGTGTATATATACTGCCTCCTTTCACAAGTAGCTCAAAAGTTTTGGAGTTAGTCTGGCGGGTTCCATCAGTCTCAGCTGTTCCCTGCTAGCAACCTCAAGGTTCTGTACCCTCCGCCCAGTACTGACTGCTCACTTGTCCCATCTTTTCTTTCCCTTAGGACTTACATCTTCAAAGTCCAATGTTGTCCAACTGGAGCTGGGAGGAGAACCCTGTGTGCTTCCTTTCCATCATTGCATAAGTTTCTACTCCAACTTCCAACCCTGGCTTATCCCTCACACCCCTCCTGATTGGTCCATCCCATCACTCTCCAGTATTGGCCTACACTTCATGTCCTTAAATACCAGCTCCTCTCAGTGACAGTCGAGTTTCCTGGGCCTGGACATACCCTTCCACACAGCACACACGGCCCTGTTGCAAACCATTCCTGGAGGAGTGAGTTGTGGACCTCTGGCCCCTCCCTGTGCCACACAGAGTAGAGGACAAGGAGACGGGCCACAAGTAAATTCTTCGAAGACAGACCTCCACCCAGAAGAAGGCGGTTTCCATCTAGCTGAGGACCTGGGAACAATCTCTGGCAGAAATGAATGACTACCCTTCTGCATTCCTGTACCTTCCCCCTTCTCTTATTATTAATAAAAGATGTGTTTTGCCAGTGTCCCTGATATACATACTCCCAACTGTGGGCAGTTTCAAACTATTACCAGAACTAAACTCACTTCAAGAGGCAAGATGCCCTTAGAGAGATTGATCACATAAAGATCAGGGTGGTCTTAGGTGTAGGGAAAGATGATAGGTAGAGAAAAGGTGATTGTAATTGATGTGCGCAGCTGTATCCCATGGCATGCTTAAAAATGGAGGCCCTTAACGAGATCCCTGCACAGGCCCAGTGGTTCCTGAAATGCAGGGTTTGATAAAGCTTTTGCACAGGTGTACACTTCTGAAACCAAAAGTTTTTTCCTTAACCTATAAAATTGGCATTAGAATATTTTTTCAACTCAAATTACTGGGTCATTTTTGCATAGGCCCTACCCCCACATTCCTTCTGTTTCTAGACCACTCCCTTACTCAATTAATACTTTGGTCAAATATCCTTCCTCTGTATGGTAGGATTTCTCTCTGCCTGTCTTTACTAGGAGACTTGTGAGTACATTACTAGGCATACATAGATAAGTTCAAACTAATCCCATCTCAATATTCCTCATCACATTTACGTAATACCAAATAAGGTAATGTTTACAAGGTACAGGATGAGGACACAGACATCTTCACGGGACGTTTAATCGTCTTAAAAATGTGTTTAAAGTATATTCAATTCCATACACAGAGGGGACTCTAATTCAAAAAGACACATGCACCCCTAGTGTTCATTAAAGAACCTGCGTGTGTATATACACTATATATAGTGTGTACATACAGTAGAGTACCACTCAACCGTAAAAAAATTAGTGCCATTATGTAGCAACATGGATGGACCTGGAGATCATCATCTCTAAGTAAACCAGCCAGAGAAAGAAAAATACCATAGGATAACCACTCAAGTGGAATCTTAGAACACACACAAATGAAGTCACCTACAATACAGAAACAGACTCAGACTCAGACGGAGTAAACAAACTCCTAGTTACCTGGGGGGAAAGGGATAAATTGGGAGTTCAAAATCTGCAGATACACATATAAAACAAATTTCTTCTATATAGCCCCAGGAACTGTTCACGGTATTTTCAATATCTTGAAAAAGGATACGAAAACAAACATGTACGACAGAAACACTGCTGTACACCAGAAACTGAGGTAACGTTGTACATAAACATACTGCAATTAGGATATGAATGACCTTTTCAAAAATTCTAATTTGTCACTTCCTGGGGTCCTCTACCTGATAGATTTGCCACCTTCTCAATTTCTCCTAAATTGGATCCGATACTGTTTAACGTGCTGACCATTGCTGGGGAAATGATTAACAAAAAACCTGCCAACCCAGGAAGTCTCCACAAAGTCAGGAGAGAAAGAAAACAGCTTTACGGGCATCTTCATTGTATAGTCAAGAAGGCAGAGTTCTCAAGATAAACCTAGTCTTTTAGTGAGAGCATCACTTGTTACAGTTTATCCTAAATGTGCCTGGGAATCTAGGGGATGTTCTGCGGTAGCTCTTCGCTTTTTATCCAAAGGAATTCTGGAATTTCTCACCCATCTGTCTATGTCGGGACAGGTAGGAGGGGCCTGCCTTCATCTTTTCTTTCCATAGAGGTGGCGCCAAATCTTTAGAGAAACCCTTAGTTGGGGAGGATATAGCTCAAATGGTAGCGTGAATATACAGTATGTAGTAATGTTACTAGGTTCACTCCCCAGTCCCTTCAAAAAAAAATTAAGTATATAGACCTCATTAGCCCCCAAAATTAGTTTAAAAAAAACTCTTAAAACCCGATTTTAAAGGAAGATATTTTCACCTATTACAGTTTGGGGGAGCCCTGGGGGCCGGGCTGCAGCGCTAACTTGGGGAGAACGAGTGACCACGCCTGGCTCCGGGGCAGCCCGGCCCCAGCGCTGCGCCCCCCGTATGCTCTGCCCGACTCACGTGGACCCGCGTGAGACGGAGCGGCCCGGGTGCGCCTCCACGGGTCTCCTGCGCGGGCAAGCCCGTTCCATCAGGGTCTCCGGATCCGGACTCGGGACAAATTCCGCGGAGGCCCCTCCGCCCACCGTGACCCTCTCGAGTCCAACCTGAGCTCGTCGCGCCCTCCGCGGGCCTCCCCGCCCGGCCCAGCCGGTTCTCACCTCCGGAGTACCGGCTTCCGGACACGTTCACCCTCACCTCTCCAGCAGAGGCCGGGCCCCGGTCGGTCTCCTCACCCGGAGGAGCCCCGCGGAGGCTGCTCTACGGGCCGGACGGCCCCTCACCCGAGCCCCGGAGCCCGACGGGGGCAAGTCCCCGCAATCCTACGGATCCAATCTCCGGCGAGAGCACATCGCACACCCAATCCTCAAGGCCGGGATGATCCTGCCCGCGCCGCCGAACTCTCGGAACTCTGGCTCGGGCACTGCGACAGAATCCCTCCCTTTGCGAAGGACTCCGGAGCTCGGGAGGGAAGCGATAATGTAAAAGTGGCCGCCAGGCGGCGCTCGACAACCGTCGCGAATGTCAGTAGGACGGGTCCGGATCGCGGGGCGGCGAGGGCCCACCGCTAGACGCCCGGATGCCCGACCTCGTCCCGGCCCACCTCCCAGCGCGTCTCACGGCCCCGAGTTACAAACCCGCAGCCTGGGACTCCAGAACGTGCGTTTTCTGTAGCGGGGCGCTCACTGCTAGTTCTTCGGGCCTCTGCAGTCATGAAGGCACAGCCCCGGTTCTCTCAGCTTCCTGACCTCTCATGGGACAGGTTTCCTACGTCCCTACTTGGCACACTGGGCCTCTCATGTCCCTGGGGAACTTCAAATGGCATTAGTCTCTCCGGTCCTCAGTCACCTCCATAAATTAAATCCCTGGGAGCACATTCGTACACAGTTATAAATCTGGGAAGAGATTTAAATAAAATATTTAGCTTTTTGAAAGATTTATATACATCCCAAAGGGACAAAGAATTTACAATTATTTGCTAAAGGAACATGGATAGATCTGGAGATCATCATTCTAAGTGAAGTAAGCCAGAAAGAGAAAGAAAAATGCCATATGATATCACTTATATGTGGAATCTAAAAAAAAAAAAGGGACACAAATGAACGTACTATTTTTAACTTAGGTGATTGATTTTGTGAATATACATAAGCACATTTGACTGTCCTTTATGACTGGATTACTGCATTCTGTTGATTTTTATTTTGTGGTTGGCTTTATTCCTTTGATAACAATGTAAGTTGAAAAAGCTAAAGCTGTAACTGTTCTTAGAAACAATGAACAGTACACATGTGTAAATGTTAAAATGTATGTATGTGCTGTATATTGTATATATGTATTTGCATGCAGTATATTGTATATGTGCAGTCAAATTGCAACAATTCTACTTAATAAAGGTGAAAAATGAGGGTGAAAATTTGCTAAGGGAAATGCTCTAAGAGTGGAGAAAGTGCTCTACTTTTTTTTGCAAAAGGGAGACTTTATTCTTAATTTGCTTTCACTATTATACCTATCCCCCATATTTCCTGTAAACTAGATATTGATGGGATGGGGAATTCAGGTCTAGTGCCGGTGGACATCTGTGCCATTTGACACTCCTGGAGATACACAGGGTGTGACCAGTGTGTGAATATTCACTAGGCAGCAGTAAGCAGGGAAGGGGTGGAGTTAAACTGGTTAAACCAAAGTGTGCTTTGTTTTCCAGAAATTGTTAAGTTGCAGAAAGTTCCAAATACCAGATATTGTGAAAAGGTTACAGCACATCCCAGTGAACATAACACAGTAAAACCAAACAACCTAGGGAACCTAGAGTTCCCTGTGCTATACAGTAGGTCCTTGTTGTTTATCTGTTTTCTGTATAGTGCTGAGTATCTGTTAATACCAAACTTCTAATTTCTCTCTCATCCTCTTTTCTCTTTTGGTAACCATAAGGTTTTTTGTCTGTGAGTCTGTTTCTGTTTTGGAAATAAGTTCATTTATCTTTTTTTTTAAGATTCCACATATAAGTAATATATTTGTCTTTGTCTGACTTACTTCATTTAGTATGATAATCTCTAGGTCCATCCACGTTGTTGCTAATGGCATTATATTATTCTTTTCATGGCTGAGTAATATTCGTGTGTGTGTGTGTGTGTGTGTAGATATAGATATAGATATCTTTCAACTTATTTATCCATTTATCTGTTTATGAAAAATTAGGATGCTTCTATGCCTCAGCTAGTGTGAATAATGCTTCTATAAACATTAGATTCTATGTACTTTTCAAATTACTTTTGTCAGGATATATGCCCAGCAATAAGACTGCTGGATCATATGGTAAATCTATTTTTAGCTTTTCAGCAAACTTCATAAGAAATAATGTTTACTTAGTACTTCTGACCATGTTTTTGATTGGATTGTTTGGGTTTTTTTACATTGAGTAGCATGAGCTGTTCATATATTTAGGATATTGACCACTTATTGGTCATATCACTTGCAGATATTTTCTCCCATTCCATAAGTTGTCTTTTTGTCTTGTCAATAGTTTCCTTTGTGGTGCAAAAGCTTTTAAATTTAATTAGGTCCCATTTGTTTATTTTTGCTTTTACTTATTTTGTGCTAGGTAACAGATCAAAAAATATTGCTACAACTTATGTCAAAGAGCATTCCACCTATGTTCTCTTCTAGATATTTTCTGGTTTCAGGTCTTATATTTAGGTCCTAAATTCATTTTGAGTTTATTTTTGTATATGGTGTGAGGTAATGGTCAAATCTGTTTTACATGTGGCTGTCCAGTTTTCCTGGCCCACTTCTGGAACAGATTGCATTTTCTCCCTTATATTCTTGCTTCCTTTGTTATACATTTATTGACCATAGGTGCATGCACTTATTTCTGGGCTCTCTGTTCAATGCCATTAATCTATGTGTCTGTTTTTCTGCCAGTACTATGCAGTTTGATTACTACAGTTTGGTAGTATAATCTGAAGTCTGGGAGGGTGATACCTTCAGCTTTGCTTTTTCTTCAAATGATTTGCAATGGTTGATTGCTTGTTTGTCCTTTTTTTCTCATAGCCTGTGAATTTTAGGATTTTTTCTACGTTTTTGAAAATGTCATGAGTCTGTGGATATAGAATGCATTACATCTGTAAATTGCTTTGTGTAGTATGGCCATTTTAACAATACTAATTCTTACAATCCAAGAGCACATGCTGATTATCCATTTCTTTGTATTGTCATCAATCTCCTTCATCCGTGTTTTATAGTTTTCTAGGTGTATGTCTTTCACCCCCTTGGTTAATTTCATTCCTAGGTGTTACATTCTTTTTGAAGCAGTTTTAAAAGATATTTTACTTTCTTTTTCTGATACTACATTATTAGTGTATAGGAACAAAAGATTTCTCGATTTTGATCCTCAGTATCCTATAACTTTGCTGAATTCATTAGTTTTAATACCTTTTGTGTGGAGAATTTAGGCTTTTTTATATAAGGTATCATGACACCTGCAAATAGTTGACAGTTTTACCTCTTCCCTTAAAATTTGGATGCATTTTCTTTCTCCTATTTACTGTGGATAGGGCGTCCAATAAAAAGTTAAATGTAAGTGGTGAGAGTGGGATTTTTTTTTTTAATGTAGGTACTGGGAATTGAACACAGGACCTCACTCATGTTAGGCACATGCTCTACCACTGACCTACTACACTCCCCCAAAGAGTGGGAATTTTTCACTCCTTCCTGAATTTAAGAGAAAGGCTCTTGGCTTGTTACCATTGATTATGATGCTGGCTGTGGGTGTATCCAAAAATGGCCTTTATTCTCTTGACATATATTTCCTCCTTACCCATTTTGATGAGTTTTTATCATATCATAAATGGATACTGAATTTTGTCAATTTTTTTCTGTCTATTGAGATAATTGTGTGATTTTTATCCTTCCTTTTGTTAATGGGGTGACTCGTAATGATTGGCTTGTGAATGCTGAATCATTCTTAGGACCGTGAAATAAATGCAAATTGATCATGGTGTATGATCCTTTTAAAATATTGTTGGATTCAGTTTGCTAGTATTTTTTTGAGGAGTTTTGCGTCTATATTCACCAAAGATAGTGGCCTGTAATTTTCTTTTTCTTTTCTTTTTATAGTGTCTCGTCTGGTTTTGGTATTAGGTTAGCAGTGATTTTGTAGAATCAATTTGGCAGTGTTCCGTTCTCTTTTGGAATTCTTTTGGAATAGCTTGAGAAGGTGCTTCTATATTGGGTTCATATATATTAGTGAGTATAATATCCTCATTTTTTAGTGGTCCCCTTATGATTATTACTGGCCTTCTTTGTCTTTAGACACACCCTTTGTTTTAAAGTCTATTTTGTCTGATATGACCAGTTCCCCTCCACCCTTTTTCTAGTCATTTTGCTTTTCATGAAATAATTTTTTCCATCGCTTCACTTTGTGTGTTTTTAGCCCTGAAGTCAGTCTCTTGTAGGTTGCATTTGGAAGGGTCTTTTTAAAATCCAATCACCTACAATGTCTTTTGATTAGAGCATTTATTCCTTTGACATTTAATGTAAATAATGATAAGTATGTACTTATTTCCATTTTATTACTTGTTTTCTTGTTGTTTTTTGTAGTACTCTTCATTTCCTGTTTCTTCTCACAGTTTGATGTTTTCTTTAGGACTATGCTTCTGTTCCTTTTTTTTTGCTTATCTGTTGTAGGCTTTTGATTTATGGTTACCAATCGGTTCGTATAATATGACCCATAATTATGCCTACTTGTTTTAAACTGTTAGTCATTTAACTTCAAATACATTCTAAAATGTCTTCATTTTTTACTCCCCTCCCACACATTTTGTGGTTTTGATGTCATATTTTACATCTTCATGCCCATCCCTTAAATGTTTTTTTGTAGTTATAGCTGCTTGTACACTTCTTTTATATTTTAATCTGCTGACCAGCTTATTTAAGTGATCTTCATTCGTTAATATACATTTCCCTTTCCTGTAGATTCTTCCTTCTTTTCCATTTAGAGAATACTCTTCAACATTACTTTCAGGGTCAGGTTAGTATTATTTCTTTAGGTTTTTGCTTGTCTGGACATTCTTCATCTCTCTTTCTATACTAAATGGTAATCTGACTGGGTAGAGTATCTTAGGTTGCAGGGTTCTCCCTTTCAGTATTTGAATATGTCAAGCCTGCCAAGGCTTGGGCTGCCAAGTATCAGCAGAGAAATCAGCTGACAGCCTGTGGGGATTCTCTCGTAGATGACTGTTTTTCACCTGCTGCATTTAGAATTCTCTTTCACTTCTGCCATTGTAATTTTGATACGTCTTAGTTCAGGACTGTTTGGGTTCATGTTGATTGGGAAGCTATGTACTTCCTGTACATGGGTTTCTGTTTCCTTTTTCAAATTAGGGAAGTTTTCATCCATAATTTTTTCAATACATTTGCAATCCCATTCTCTTCTCCTTCTGGAACCCCTGTAATTTGAATGTTGAATTCTAAATATACTCCTAGAGATCTCTTAGATTGCTTTCATTTTGAAAAATTTGTTTTTCTTTCTGCCTGGGTGAGTTCCCTTATTCTATCTTCCAGACGATCTATGCATTCTTCTCTATGACTTGCATTGTTACTCATTACTCCTAGTGAGATTTCTATATTGGCCATTGAGTTATTATTCCCTGGGTCTTTGTATATTCTGGGCTGCTTCTGATGTACTGGTGGAGAAGTAAGAGACAATGGCCACTGAAGTCCCACTCAGGCTCTGGCCCAGGTTACCTTTGGGTCCCAGGGTTGAATGTTTTCTTGGCTGACACAGATCCATTGTCATGAGGGTGTGGAGTTAGCAGAGCCAGTACATTGGACCTGATCAGCCAAGGGGGTGTGGTTAGAGGATCAGAGGAAACAAGTAGCTGCTAAATCAAACCTCCCTCTTCCCAGCATCAAGGGCAGGCAGTATACACATTCCTTCCAAGCAGGGTCCAGGCTTCTCCAGGGTCTCTGGCTGTCCCACTGGTGTTCCAACCACTCAAGAAAGTTTATCTCCAAGACACAGACCCTAGGACTGGGAGCCAAATCCGTGGCTTGACCCACTTGCTCCCCATGCTGGGTGTCTGCCCCTGCAATCGCCCTTCTTCTCTGAGTCCCCACCTCCAGACCCAATTACTTTTCTTCCCTATCTACCCACTTGTGTCTGTATCTTTCTTACAGCCATGAGTGTATACAAGTTCCTCAGCCAGTATCCAGATAATTTTCAGCAAGAATTGCTTCACATCTAGATGTATATTTGATTATTTGTGGGGGAAAGTTGGTACCACAGCCTCTTACTCTGTCATTTTGATCACCTCTCAGGTGTTCCATAATTAATGAAAACAAACAAATGAAAAATGAACTTATGTTATTCAGAGAAAAAAAGTCTCTTCCTTTATTGAACAAGCTTTAGTCACACTCCACTGAGCTCTCTTCCCTCCTAGACCTGAACCTGGTATGCATCCCCGAAGGGCATACTTAGCTCAACTTTATACAGATATCTGCAAAGTCAGCTTAGTAAGAGTAACACCATGCTGATCATCTGATCAAACCCTCATTTCCTACCCTTGGTATCTGATCTCTCTAGCCATTCTTCAGCAAGATTCTTGTTAAGTCAGTTTAGCATAATAACTCCTCACTTTTTTTTTAATTCAACCATCATACTTGATGTTTCCTGTTAGTAATTTTCCATTCACTGACCCCTTCACTCAGCTCCTTGGCTACAGATCCGCAGCTGTCTTTACTTAAAGTTGAACTAAGTCCTCCAATATTATAATAACCTCGACACCTATCTCAAAAATCCAGGATAAAATATTTCTTACCATTTTAACAAGTGTCAACTGTAATGCACAGGGAACTGTATACAATATCTTGTAGTAACTTAATGTGGAAAAGAATATAAAAATGAACGTATGTGTGTTCATGTATGACTGAAGCATTGTACTGTACGAGTTGACAGAACATTGTAAACTGACTATATTTACATATATATGTATAATGGGGGGGTGTCAAAATAAGTTTTCCTCAACACTGTTAATTCCATTTTAGTCAAACCAGATCATACTTCTGTAAGCGTGGACAAAGGATGGAAGGACCCTTATCCACCTCCCAAAAGTGGCACCTACAGGGCCACCTGAGCACTGAGGGAATTGCATCAAACATGTGCCCTCTCCAGTCCTCTAAATCCAAGGGTGAAATTGATATTCCATTTCAGATCTGGTGAAAGGTCTGAAGCCAAGGGCTAACGGGGGGCTTCCTCAAGATCACATCCCCAGAGAGGGCTCAGAGAGACTCCACAGGGAGGGCTCTGGACTTGGCAGCCCCTGCTTGTCCCTCTGCCTTGGTCCAAGAACACAGGTTCTCAGGGTCTTTTCAGGAGTCCCATTTCTTCCCCATCAAACTGTGGAAGGGACTGAGGGTGTTCAGGTAAAGCAGAAAGTGGAAAGTTTAGGGACAGCACAGGAGTTGGATGAGTCTGAGGTGGCAACACAGCATGAAGATGCCCCTGCTTTAACCATGAGCAAAAAGACCATTTGTTGGGAGGAAACTGAGTCCCACAAAGGGTGTGTTGTCTCCTTGTGAACTCCTAGCAATGGACAGGGATTTAGGATTCATGCCCTGGTTCTGGGCATGAAGACTCTGGTCACTGCACTCCTCTTTGCCTCCTGAGCTCTGGAAATGCAAACACCTTGTCCATGCTAACACCCTCTTTCCCCCAGCCAGAGGGCTCTGCTCATGTCCCCATCTGATGCTGATGGTCAGACTATCTTTTCACTGATGGCTTTCCTGTGAGTGACCTGTTATCTACCCAACTCACCCAGTGTTCAGAATCTGTTACCCTCATTTCTGAAACTAGAGGTCTGCAGCTCAGAGACACTGAGGCACTATGACAAGGGAACAGAGCTGCCAGGCCATTTATGAGTGGTCCCTCAACACTGCACAAGTCTACAGGCTTCTCTCCCCACCACCCGACCCAGCAGGGACTCCAACTCCTTCAATTACCTACCCCACATGTGCATCTCCACCAGGGCCTCAAGGCCCACCTCCCCCAATGCACATCTCCTTCCTGCAAACACCTTTCTTCTCCTCAAGTTCTTCACAGGGACAGCAGCACTGAACTAGACACCCTGGACAGGGTCATCAATGTCACTCCAGATGTGACCTCACTGCCATATGCAGTCATTTGTTTTCAAGGTCCTGTCCATCTGTTTCATAAGCCCGCTTCAAGAGGTTCCTTCTGCCTCATTGCCCAGTTGTCCTGGTCACTATTCTTGGCACCGTGAAAGACACTGAAGAACTAAGAATGTCTGATGCGGCCCCGTCCCTGAGGCTCTTCCTCTAACTTCCTGACCCATCACCCCACTGCTGCTTCCACTCCATTAGAAAAATACAGTCAAGAAGGTGCCCTCCTTTCCTCAAGACCTACACTTGACCAACCTTATTCTAAATGCTGAGGGCTGAATGCAGGCTGACACATTCCAGATAGCCTGTAAGTATCCCACCGCAGGTCCTCCTCCTTCTCAAAGCTACTCACACCACGAGTCTCCAAATTGTACTGAGGTGTTTACTGAGTCCCTGATCTGAACTCCATCAGTGCATCATCAAACATGGAGTGATGTGGGAGAAGTCCTTTCCAAGCCAGTCTGCACCCACATCACAGGTGATCCACAGAGACTGTGTGATTGTGTGCATGGCTTATACACTAGACTGTTGGGTATCCCTATCACATGTCTGTTCCAGTCTCCCTGGAGTGTTTACGCATTTGTGTGACCACACTTGATGTGGCGGGCCAGTACATTACATTTCCCCAACAGGGCCTCACTGCTGTCACACATCCTTTGTGCAGTGGTGTATCAGTTGTAGGTAAAAGCTGCATTGAAGGGTATTAGCATTCAAAATCTGTCACACTGAGTCCCCAATTATGCTAGTATACAGTAATAGTTAGAATACATTTATACATAATGGAGTATGAAAGGGCTCTTTGATTTCAGAAATGCATTCTAAGATATGCATTCAACAACATACCTGAAATTATAAACTAAAACCCACTAAGTGCATGATACACACACACACAAGCATGGAAATGATAAATGATGTGAGACTGGGGAAGGGTTCATCAGGCTTCAAATACAGTTATTCTGTTTATACTTATGTTGAAAAATAGTCGTTACAAATTTGATTATGTTCCTGAGTCAATGCTGAGCATGACTTAAAAATTGTAGGAGGAAGCGTAGTGTCAGGAGTGTACAAGAATGTCACTACATCAAAATGTACATTTTAAATACGTGAAATTAAAGTCAACATTCATTAAACTATTTAAAAAGACATACAAAACCTGTCACTTTATCATCATTGTACTATGGTTTATTAGTTACATTCTTAAAATTATCTGCAGCTAAGGTACCTAGTGTGATGGAAACAGAATACACTGGGCTACTGGGAATGCTTCTGAACTCCATGCTCCGTGACAAGCTGGTAATTTGACATTGCCTACATTGGGAGTATTTACACCAGGGAAATAGGGCAATTGGTTAACATTACAAACCAGGGTTTGATTCTGTTATCGAATGTCTGGACTTAAAGAGTGAGTGATGGGGGATGGTATACCTCAAGCGGTAGAGTGCATGCTTAGCATGCACAAGGTCCTGGGTTCAATTCCCACTACCTCCTCTAAAACATAAATAAATAAATAAACCTAATAACCCCCGTCTCAAAAAAAAAGAGTGAGGGACTATATGTTAATAATACAGATTGATCTTAAATGTGTATAAACTATGTGGCCATTACATTTTGCATAGGACATTGAAGAAAAATGAGAAAATATTTTAGTATTCCAAATCACTATTCCATGTAGAAAATTAGTCATTCATATTATTGCTCAACGAGTGAAATTCCACAGATGTCTTTGCTATTTCCTATTCTTCTAATTGTCAATGAAAAAAAATAGCCAAAATTCAAAAAATTAAAAGTAGGAAAAATACAGGAACAGAAACTTAACTAAACAAGACACACAGGCAAAAAACAGACACATGAAAGAAACTCAACTTCAAGAATCCTGGGAGAGATGCAATTAAACTCATGATTTTAGAGTGGGGTTTTACAGTCTTCACTGAAGTGAGCAGCAGTGTTATCTTTCAACATAAGGTTGATGAAGTGTGTTTCCAGGTGGAGAGGGAAATTTCCTGCTGATTAATAATCATTAATCGGCGATTTACATTTTCCTGGTAAGGTGGGAAGAGCAGTGGGGCAAGGCAAGGGGATGACAAGGAAGAGCCTTGGGGATGGGGATATGTGAGAGCCACAGTGGACACTCTGAGTCCTCCACTGCCTCACAGTACCCAGACCAGTGACCTCATCAACTGAGAAACTATGTGACAGGGACATCCTGAAGGAAGATTTTTGAAGATGGACAAGTCCTTGGAAATAAATAACTATATATGGCAACTGAAAGCAGTATCACTTCTGGGGTGACACCACATACCCTCTGGGGATGCCTGTGTTAGTGCTGCTGTCCCTGTTAGGAACTGCACAGGAGAGGTGTTCTCAGAAAGGAAATGTGTATGGGGGAGGTGGAAGTGGATGTCCTCGTGGAGATGCACAAGGGGTGTCATGATCAGGGAAAAGCAGATGTGTCTGGGCAGGAGAGGATCCCTGGAGTCCATGCTGGGAAGGACAGGATGAAGCCAGCAGATGTGGCGTCCTGAGGAACCACACTCATCAATTCCTCGACAGCTGTGTCCCCTTGTGAAAGTCCCTTAAACTCTCTGAGCAACAGATGCCAAGTTTCAGAAATGAGGACAATAACAGACTCTGAGCACTCGGTAGGTTGTGTAGATAAATGGAGTCATTTACAGAAAACCATCAATGTTGGTTCTGAATGAAAGCATAGTCCTGTCCATCAGCAGGAGATGGGAGTACGAGCAGGGTGCTTGGGGAGGGGAAACAGGATGTCAGGATGGACAAGGTGTTCTTTTAGGTTCTTTGAGCTGAGCTGGGAGGGAAAGAAGAGTGCAGTGACCAGAATCTCCATGCCCTGAACCAGGCTACCTGGCACTGAATTCTAAATCCCTGTCCAAGCTGAGAGTTCACAAAATGACACACCCTCCCTGAGCCTCAGTTTCCTCCCTAGAAATGGTCTTTTGCCTGCACAATTAATAACGCACCTCCATTCTCCCAAACCTTTTACCTCAAACTCCTACAGCCTCAGTGCCATCCTTATTCTCTACATTCACAAGGTCATTTCTTCATTGTGAACTTTCTCATGTTGAAGCAAATGGCTCTTTTGGAAAAAAGATGTATCACACTGCACTCATAAAGTGTTTCTCAACTAGGAACTCTCTGACAGTAAAGGAGGCCAGACCTATCAGTAAAAGATTTCCCACATTCACTGGACTCAGGTGGCTTTCCTCCAGTGTGAACTCTCTGATGATAACACAGGCTAGACCTAGCAGTAAAAGATCTCCCACACTGACTGCACTCATAAGGCTTTTCTCCACTGTGAACTCTCTTATGATAACGAAGGCCAGATCTATCGGTAAAAGATTTCCCACATTCACTGCACTCATAAGGGGTTTCTCCAGTGTGAACTCTCTGATGATAAAGGAGGCCAGACTTACAAATAAAAGATTTTCCACATTCACTACATGTATAAGGCCGCTCTCCCGTGTGAACTCTCTGATGATTAACGAGGCCAGCCCTACCAATATAAGATTTCCCACATTCACTACACTTATAGGGCCGCTCTCCAGTGTGAACTCTCTGATGATATCGAAGGCTAGACCTAGCAGAAAAAGATTTCCCACACTGACTGCACTCATAAGGCTTTTCTCCAGTGTGAAGTCTCTGATGTATAAGGAACTTGGAGTTGTTGGTAAAAAATTTCCCACATTCACAGCATTCGTAAGGTCTTTCTCCAGTGTGAACTCTCTGATGATAACGGAGGCCAGATCTACCAATAAAAGACTTCCCACACTCACTGCACTTAAAAGGCCGCTCTCCAGTGTGAACTCTCTGATGGTAACAGAGGCTAGACCTAGAAGTAAAAGACTTCCCACACTCACTGCACTCATAAGGCTTTACTCCACTGTGAACTCTCTGATGTGTAAGGAATCTGGAGTTATTACTAAAAAATTTTCCACATTCACTGCATTCATAAGGACTTTCTCCAGTGTGAACTCTCTGATGTATAAGAAAGCTGGATTTTTTGATAAAAAACTTCCCACATTCACTGCATTCATAAAGCCTTTCTCCAGTGTGAACTCTCTGATGTGTAAGGAATCTGGAATAGTAGGTAAAACACTTGCCACATTCACTACACTGATAAGGCTTTTCTCTAGTGTGAACTCTCTGGTGTTGAATAAAGTTGCACCTTCGGATAAAAGATCTATCACAGTCCTTGCAGTCGTAAGGATTTGCTCCCGTGTGGATTTTCCTATGGGCACTGAGGTGGTGGCTTCCGCTAAATGACTTCCCACACTCACTGCACTTGTAAGGCCTTTCTCCACTATGAATTCTCTGGTGTATAAGAAAACTGAATTTCCTGCTAAAAAATTTTCCACATACATTGCACTCATAACGCCTTTCTCCAGTGTGAACTCTCTGATGTTGAGTGAAGTTGCACCTCCGGATAAAAGATTTGTCACATTCCTTGCACTCATAAAGCTCTTCTCCA